AAGCATCGACAATACAGTGTCTACAAATTTTAATTTTTAACTCATAGATTACTATGGGGTCCTAATTTCATTCTTACAATGTAGACAGTTTTTATATATATATAAAAGACGTGCTTCTAGCCTTGTTAATCTTTTGGGAAATCGCAGAAAGTAATTTCTCCAAAAATTTTGATATTCTTTAAAATGATTATTCATCTTATCATAAATCGACCTATTTACAAATAAAAAATTTAAAATGTCACTTGGAGATAAATTATTAGCAATTTCAGCTAACATTTCTTGTATTTCCAATTTTACAAATATTGATTTTGTCGAAGGATCAGCTTTAACCATATCTATTTCTTGGATTTCCAATGTTGATTTTGTCGAAGGATCAGCTTCAATCATATCCATTTCTTGGATTTCCAATATAGATTTTGTCTCAATATCCAAATGTTCATCTTCAATAATTTCAACAATCTTTAAAGGGTCAGCTTCAATCATATCTTAATTAACGATTCACATAATTAAATAAAATACTTTATAATACGTAAAAAAAATTAAATATAACATCTTTTCTTACCTGATTTATATTTATTTTTATACAAATCTAATATTTTTCGAATGCCATGTAATGCATCTATTATCTCTTGTTTTTTTCTTCCTAATAAAACTTCTTTATTTTCATCTAAATGAATTAAACCGAAATTCCGACTAAGATTATTCATTTCTTTATACAAATCTTTATTTTCTTTTTTCAATTTATTAATTTCATCTTGTAAGCTTTTGACTTTAAAATTCAATTGCTTGATTGTACTTTTGAAATATTTGATTTTATCTGTTCGAAATTTATAATCGTCTTCAGAAATATCTTTGCGCCTATGTTGACTAAAAAAAAGAAGGTCCTCAGTAGCTTTAAGATATGTGAGTGCACCTTCTACAATTTTATTACACGAAAGTTGACATATTGCTTTTTGGAGCAAGGATACGCAAGGCATTTTTTTTTATCCTTAAGTTTGTAGTTTCATCTCGACTTTATAAATAAAATTTTTCAATACATATTTATTTTTAAATTAAAGATTATTTATTAAAAGCCTCTTCATGAATTATTTATTTTCACATGACATTACTTTTAAAATCGGAATTAACGTTAGAGTTTTACTACCAAATTTGGAATTACAAAGAGAGATGTTAAATGGTCTGAATTTTACAATATAATTTATACGTAGCTAGCCAGTTTAATTAATAATAAATTAATCGGCTTAACATCTTTAGTATGAAGTATCTTACGTAATATGATATTTACATATTATTATTAATTAAAGTTACTGCTAACTTAGTTTCGGTTATATGCATATATTATTTATACTATATTTTACGATTTATGCTGTCCCAACAACTGAGTCATGATTTATATATATGAAATTACACGTGTGATTTATCGAAAATATAAATTTCTTGACTGACTTTTGTGGTAGCTCAGAATAGCGTTCCAATCTATAAATTTACTAATTTTTATTCTTTTCTTTTCTAATTCACGCAATGTCATATACTTAAAGTGAACCCCTCTATCCACCAAATCAACAAGATTATTTTGATAATTTGAATCTTTTATTGTTCTCGTCAACATTGAATTCTTCAAATGAGGATGAATTATGTTCTTCTCAAAGTAAGAATTTATAATTAAATAGAATGAAAGTGAATTAGGTTTTTCTCAAAGTAAGAATTTATAATTAAATAGTAATTATCCAAGAATAAAGAACTTGAACAAAAAACATTTATAAAATGTGACTCTTCTAGATTCAGAATTGCAGATATAGCTGTGGGTGAAAATCACACTTTTATATGAATAGCTGGTTAAGACATGAATTTGAAGAAGTCCCAAATTATGATATAGAATTTTTAACTATATATAAATATTGGTTGAATAGCCATGGTGCATGATGGATATTTCTTTGCTGTAATGATGAAAGAGTATGATTATACATTTCGTAGGAAATTATAGGATTTTTTAATTACTTTTAATTATCGCTCTTTGGAATATTTGAAAAAAATTCTCCAAAAAATTGTAGATGAAAACGATGCAGATATTTTGAGACATTATTACCTTTTGATCGAATTTATTAATTACTTTAAGGGTATTAGGGATCAATATTTAGATAGAGAAATTTCATAAAGTATATAAGGCACTGTTTTACGGAGTTAGCAAAAAATGTGCAAAAAAGTTTATGTTAATAGTAAAGTGTGTGAATATACTGTTACAATAATATTTGGTGGTATTGATAATTAGAATTTTCTTTTACTTACAAAAGGAAATATCTTTATAATGTGATTGAAAATATTATAGCTGAAATAAATACCAATTTACTAAGTCTATTTTGCAACTTTAGCTTCTATTCTCATTTTTCAGAATTAACCACAACATAATTATTATTATTGTCTGAAGCATAGCTTAGGATATTATACTTCTAGCCATTTGGATCTAAACAATCACAAGATACACGTCTGTCACACCACGTAATTAGCCAATCACAGATAAAAATTCGTTCCTTGTGCAATCGTTCGTCTGATTGGCTGATGCAGATCAATTGCTAAACTTTAATCGGGATATAAAAATATATAAACTTTATGTAATTTCTATAATTTTGTTAATGCATATAATCCTGTTTTCATTTTTGAAATCGAAATGTTTCAAAAACCGGTTTATGAATATATATCGATAAAGTAAATTTTATGAAAATCATAATTTGGCATTAATTAAGCCATAATTGAACTTAAAATTAGAGTAGTTTTTATATTTGTGCCAAATTTGGCTTAAATATATAGTAATTTTTTTTGATATCGATATTGTATAATTCAAAAGAGATAATCTCAGTCAATTTCCATGACCCCTATGGACAGTTTGAATTTTCAATCTTTTTTTAGAGCATTACACAAACAAAATAGAATTTCACATGATTTTCCACACCATAAATCTTAAAGTAACAAAAAAAGCCACACGATATAAATAAATCTATATCAATATTAAATATAAAATATGACTATGATTGATATTTTTAATGAACCACACGATTCTGAAGCCTGAAAAGTTTATCTTACATGAGGTTTCATCAAAACTAAGTCATAGACTGAAGTAAAATTTTACGTGATTGAAGATGCAAACAAATAAAAATTCATATAATTTTAGTATAAAGGTCGTGTTTGTTTGATCTTCTTTAAAATCTCAAGTTTAGTACGATATCTCTCTATCTACAAATATAATAATGTCTCGCATTAGAAGAAATGAAATTTAAATGTTACTTTATCTAGAATTAATTATGACAATTATAGACAAAAATTTCCAAGTTCTTTAAAACAAGATGTCTCCTTTTCTAATCAATTGAATCTTCATGAACAATTAAGGATCATTAAAGACAAAAATGATTTTACAAACGAATTTTTTACGGCTGTGAAAATTTATACTAATAGTATAAAATCAATTGCTTTTTGTCATTTCTAGTAAATTTTTTATATTGTGTAATAAGTAAATATCTTTATTAATATTACTAGATCAATCCAAAAAGATAATAAACTCTGACCATAACGCTTGTCAAATTACTATCGAAGTTGATAGTGATTCTTCATTGACTGACACCTCAGATTCTGACTCGGAACCCACAACTGATGATGAACTTATTTTACAACAATCTAGTTCATTAAATGATGATGAATAGTTAATTAATAACAATGATGATGAACAGTTAATTAATAATAAAGTTCTTAAAGTTCAAACAGAATCCAAAAATATTCAAGAGCAAGCAACGAATAATTGTCTACAACCTGCAGCTATCAATTCTTCACAATCAAAATTTTCTAATGATCAACAAAGTCAATTGCAAAATATTTACGTCTGTCCACGTAATAATGATCAAAAATATAAAAAATTAAAAAAAATTATCTGCATTCATCGCATTTTCAATTTTAGCTCTTTTTGGGTATCATCAAAAGATATATACCATAAATAATACATACGTATTTATATTTTATGCTAATAACAAATATTTATTTTAGACAAATAACGCTACTATTAGCAATCTAATTGAAGTAACTAACAACTTGATTTTCGAAAAAGTAAGCATCAAAACTTTTACCCACAAAAAAAAAAAAATCCTAATATTAATATAAATTTATAGTACAATCTCTGAAAAAATGCGAAACTTTTTGAAACAGAAAATAATGCATTGAAAATAGAAAACTACGTGGTGAAATCTGAATTAAGCAATTTAAAAGCAAAATACACAGTCTTGGAAAAGGAAAGCATCCATTTAAAAGAAAAGTATGAATCACAAGAAATAGGATTCAGAAAAACAATCAAAGACCTCGAAATCACAATCAAAGACCTTGAAGCAGAACTCAGAAATAACGAAATAAAGTTTAAAGCAGAACGTAAAGACCTTGTAACAGAATTAAATTTGTTAAAAAACAAGAACAAAGAAGCTGAAACTAGACAAAAACAATTGGAAAATAAGATCGACGAGATAATTGAAGATCGTGACCAGCTAATACATACAATAAATGATTTATGAAAAAGGGAAAAAGAACTAAGAAAAAAGTTTGAAAAGGAGAAGCAAGAACTTCAAAATCAAATATACGATCTACAAGAAGAAAAAATAAAGGAAATAGTCGATAAATCAAAAGGAGGATATAATTAATTCATAATTAGATACTTGGTTTATACATTTTATAAATAATACAATTTTTTGAAATTTGTTTTTTTTTTGATTATACTTGTATCTCATACGTTTAGTACGCATTTATTTGAAATATATTGCTGAAATAAGTGTCATGTTCTTTATAAATAAGCCATTTGTGGATTTTTTTATGATGGAGTAAGAATTTTAGCTAAAATATTAGATATCGTTCAATTGACTATGATTAATTTCTTTGTAGTTGTGATTTTACTTTATGAATAAAAGAAATTTTAGTGTTTTAATCATGATTATGAGATTAGCTAATCAAAATTGGTATAGATGATTGAACCTAGCTGCCGCAAAATCGTGGCTATTTCCTTAAAAATTTCTATTTGCGAAATAAAAAGTTAAAAAGTTAATTCCGGTCAAAAATTACATAAATGTTTATGTAATGCAGGCCAAAATTTTGTAGATCACGGCTGTTAGCCAATCAAAATCGAGAATCTGCAACTGAGGTTAAATCACTACCCAAAAAAGTTTCAATTATCTTAACTAGCCAATCAAATTTCAAGATCAGGTATAACATAACACGATCAAGAAAATTTAAAACAAACGTTCGTTTTGCAGATAACTCAAAATTTGGTCTATAAAACCACCTTTTGCACACTAATAAAAAATTTTCCTTGCAAAATTTTCATATAGAAAATGGTTTTAAACATTAATCTAATAGCAAAATCCTAACTCTAACCTAAAAATACAAAATTTTTACTCGAAACTTTTTTGGGTGGCGATTTTACCATGGTTAGAATCTGCCATGACAATTTTGTTTCAGCAAGAGATACTAAACTTTAGATGAGAAATAAGTCATTTGTGAAAATTAATCAAAATTTTGTGTTCAGACTATATATAGTTTTACAATAAACTACAGTTTATTTATATTAACTACTAGTTTATGGATCGCACCTCTACGTATAATGCTTTTAGATTTATTTGATTGAAATTAATTCATTTAATTGAAATATGAATTATATTGTAGTTTGCATAATAATAAATTAAATTGCTAATCTTAATAATTCATTTAATTATCAGTAAGTTTGTCTAGTCAATTTAATTCTGTATTGTTATTCGATCATATCTAATCCTATACAAATGTCATGTGACTTTGAATGATGGAGTTGCACATCTTGTTTAGAGAAAGCTAAAAGTTTGGAAATATATGGTGTCGTATATCATGGTTAGAATCTTCTCGACTTGTATTCATTTTTACAAGTTAAAATTTTGGAAATAAAATAGTAAAGACACAGAAGGATTCATGTGTCATACAGTATATTAATATATTAATAGCATATATACTCATTTTACTATCGAGAAAAGCATATCATAAATCAAGTTTTTATGAATAATATATAATTAGTAGATTGCAGATCTTATATTTTTTTAAACCTGTTTTAATGTTAAGCTAAATAGGCGCCTTTTATTTATATTAATTTATTTTAAATTTTCAATATATGATGATTGGTTCTATACAGAGCTATCTTGTTTACACGAGAATTCACGAACAGAAATCTGATAAATTGACATCGTTCAACCCTTATCTTTGTGTATTTTTTTGTGTAGGCAAGAAGAAACCTTTTCTAAATATTTAGGTATTTTTTTTCAAAAAAAAAACATGCACGCGATTTAATTAACACAGCCTGCATATTGACTTTATAAGAAGGCAGAATTATGTTTGCTTTTTATAGTTTATTAAAGGTTTTCACAGCATAATACGGTAAATATTTTCACATAATCATATTAATAGATTACCTTCTTTCTTCTCAAAAAAGATCAATTATAATGGATTTAAAGAATAAAAATTTAATTCAGCTCATGGTTCCAAACCAAGGTAAGAAAATAAATTTATTTCTATTAAGATGACCTTACAATAGGCTTAAAATAATGAACTTTTTGAAGCAGTGTGTTTAATAACTAACACAATCTTTTATAGGTGTATTAGTCAATGTTCTTAATAATTATTCGCCTAACGTTTTCTTAAGTAGAATTAAATTTTTTATTGTCAAAATATAATACATAGTTATATCTC